AGCTGGAGTTCAGACAGGTGAAGCATTTCTGAAATACAGACAGGGACCGAGATGGTTCGGAGTTGCAGCAGGAAGCAGGATCAGGATGTAACCCTGCAATTTCTCAGGGTGCTGGCATGGGGAGAGTCTTTGGGAGTGCCACTGGTTCCGCCACGCGCTCACAAAAATCATCAGGGTAATTAGCGCAAGGTCTGAGCCGTCCCAGCTTAGTCTGCGGCTCCTCTGAACCACGGGGTTTTCTAGGAGCAGTGATGTCTAGGGATGACATCTCGGAGGCATCCAGCTCAATCTCCATGCCAAGGCACATGTCCTGACACTGTTGCAGTGGGTGGTGCAGTTAATGATTTCGGGAGGGAGGTGAGGCTGGTGGAAAACATGTCCATCATGGGCTCAGCTTCGCGTGTTGGTGTACCGGGCAGGCGCCCCAGGGCGAGCGGGGACTCTTCCTCCCAGCACTGTGGGAAAACTGAAAAATTAACCAAGGGAGAGGAATGAATAAGACTATGAAGTCAACCTCAATAGTAAATAAAATCCAAAGAACCAAGACGGGCACGTTGTGTTATGAGTATGTACTTCATGTCTGCCAGCACGCAGCTCAAACCATCCCAAGTGTGAATATGAACAGCCTTCTTCACTTGCAGCAGCAGCTTATTAGTAGTGATATATCAGTGTTGTGGTGCTGTTTTTTCTCCTGTCAACAACAGCTGCTTATCAAGCAGATATTACACTGTATTTCTGGTGAAAAAGTCAAAAATTGATGTGTATAAGTCTTTGTTGATCTTATAAGGAGCTTCTGTAAGTGGGCATCTGTTGTGCTGAGTGTAGGGGTGAGGCAGAAAAGGATTATGTTCAGTCTTATTTATAAGGCTAGGTTCAGTCTTATTTGTAAGAGTGAAAAACATAAATTCTGCAAGGGTTTTAAATCTTTGTGCCCAGGGAGTGAGATGCTGGTTGGTCATCCCTGGTGGTACCTTCTTTTTTTCTAGCCAGGCATTTAGCACAATGATTTAAACCCCTGTGACATCTCCAAGCTCCCTAATAGTAAAGATAAGGAAACACAGAATAATGCTTAAAAAGTGGAAAAAAATACTGGTATATACTTTTGTCTTTCATCCAGTAATATTGGATCTAAATGTCAGGCAACTGTACGTCCTTAAATCTAAGGTGAAACAGTGAGTCTTTTTTTTAAAGCAGAATGTTTTTTAGGTATTTTAAACTCTTAAGAACAATGGAAATAAAAGGTTGGGTTCTCAGTTGGCATAAGATTCAGCTTCAGAGTTTTCAAAGACACAGTGCACATTTGCACCTGAAAAAAGTTTTGGTCCTGGCCAAATCCTGTGTGAAAAAGGAAGGAGGAGGCAAGGCTGAGCCAGAAGCTGCTCCTGGTCTTGTTGGTTGGATCCCTTTTACCATCTCTGCAACAAGTCACGGTAGAAAATATTCACAAAGAATGTCCTAAAGTACCACTTACACGCTGCTTTCACGGCGAAGACCAAGCAGAGTTGTGCTGTCAAGCCCTGATGATTAAATTCCTTTTTCCATCCCGTCTTCCTCATGTTTGGCTTATTAACTTGACATTTCATCTCAATTATTTGCTCTTCTTCACGCCCTCCCGGTGTCGCTTGTCATTCACTCTTTATTCGGGCAAGTCTGGCTGGTCAAAGGAATGTGTGTGCTGGGGCAGGCGTGCTTGTTGTGGCTGTTGCAGGTGTAAGTAACCCTTTAGGTACCTTCATGCATGCTGATCTGACCCTTGTTTGGCATGCAGAAAGGTCGTTCCTCTTAGTTTTTTTGTCAGTGGGGCAGAAAACCTTCCTGGGGGTTTTCCTTTTGACTTCATCTGGTGCTGAGGATCTCCAGGGCTTCTCCAAGGGTTCTTCCCCAACCCTCTATGCAAACTCCTGCTGATGTGCACGCATGAGCTACTCATTGGATTTTTCTCATATTCTTCCAAGAAGGGTAAGAAACCCTGTCCCCCATGCCCCCGTGCATGGGTGTGGTGTCCCAGGGCATGGCTGCAGAGCTTTGCTTTCTTGTCCTCTGCTTCCACCTGGGTCTTCTGCTCAATAACACATCAAAACTACTCGGTCATAGAAAAAACTCAAGTGTCTGTTGGAAGTAATGAAGAAAAATCACAGTCAGGTAGTGGTGTGCTTCCCACTGCTGTCAGGGATGAGGAAATGGCACGAGCAGTGTTTTAAATAACCAAATGTGTCAGAGAGGCACCAGTAAATGATGAAAAGCAAAAAAAACCCCAGGGCTCCGCTAAACTTTATGGTTGCCATTCTTCATCTTAATTTTAGTGAAGGTGTTTGTTTGGAGGTGAGTAATGAACGCTCCTGGAGCCTGGGAACGGCAGTGAACAGTGGAAAATGAAGCACCCTACCCCATAATGCATGAGTCTGCTTTTTTTTTTTTTTAAATAAAAAATGATATTTTTTTTTTCCCCTCCCGCTGAAGATGAATATGGCCTGAAGATGCAAAACAACTTTGCAAAGCTGGTAAGAACACTTCCCAGCACATGCATCAAACATTTGCTCATCTCTCTGTGCCACGCTAATGAAACTTGTGATACTTAGCTTGAAACATCGTGTAAACCCTCACTTTAATCCCAGTTTAAATACAATTTGTAAAGTGCTTGTAAAAATCTGCAAGATGTCCTAAGCCACTCCTTGTTTGCAAGGAAGCGTGTTAAAGTCTTTTGTGTGCATTTGAAAACATAATCCCCTGCTGAAGCTGTTTGCATGGTAGCACCATTATCCAGAAATATTACCATGGGGTTACACAGGCAGACATCAAGATCGTTCTGTGCAGCCAGCGGGTTTATGCGAGTCTGTGCTCTTGTGCCAAAGGATTTCCCCATTTTTACGGGTTTAATATGTGTTGCAGACCTGTGCAAATCTTATCTGCCAAGTCTCATCTACCCAAGTCTTATCTGCCACAAATTTTGGATGGTACACAGCGATACTTGAGGAATGAGGGAAATCTTTTGAGCATTTGGCAATGAGCAAGAAATTGGGATAGGTTGGAAAAAAAAAAATGGTCCCACATGTTTAGTGCCCCTAAATGACACTTTGTTGTAGTTCACCGAGAGTGGCGCCTGTAACCTGTAAGACTTGCTGCTGTGATGCAACATAAGTAAAGACAAATAAAAGAAACCTTAGCTTTATAAGCATTGTGTGCGTGAGATGGTCTGAGTTTAATGGCCTTATGGGTGCTTTTGTTTTCATCTTATGCTTCTGGTCAGTCAAATTGGATTTTCTGAAGGACTTGGCTAAATGCAGTGTGCTCCCTGCTTGCTCCTGAGCCTGGTCCTTGGGAGGACCAGGCTCCTACGAGGCAGAGCATTGTTCCTCTGTGGGACAGGCCAGCCAACGCCAGGGTGGAGACATCTGTGTTGCTCTCAGAAAGGTCTTTGCCTCCTCTGTCCCCTTGTGGCATCTCAAGAGGGTGAAGAATCTGTAGGCCTTTATGGAGGATCTTCATGTCTGTGCTCATCAGCTTCCCTCTCTTCTGATGGTGGCTCTCCGCCTTTATGGAGGATCTTCATGTCTGTGTTCATCAGCTCTCTTCTGATGGTGGCTCTCTTGGTAGCTGATGCTTTAGCCAGGTCAGGGCATGGGAGCTTGAGCTCAGTGACCTGCTTATGGCCTTTCTTAGGAGATGGAGGTTTCTGCGCACCCGTATCCCTTTCAGCTGGGACTGCCTCTCCTGTCGCATGGCCCATCCCTACCGTGACCATCATCCCTTTCCTTAATACCACTCTTTTTTGAGCATCATAAGTCCTCAGAGGCATTCTGGGCTTCCTACTTGACAGCTCAGTTCTGTCAATACAGGGGCTTCATCCATAAACTGACGATTAGCTGTTTCAAATTCAACAGTTCAAAAATGGAAGCATGCTAATTAAATCGTCCATTGTGATTACTCTTCTCCTGCCTTGCAGTTTTCTCGATTGGAAAATGTGAGGCTTAGCAAGAGGAGTTACCCTAGATATGAACCGTTCACATGATTTATAGCTTGAGATATCAGTTGTTCTTCAGAAGTGAAATGTAACTGCATAGCTTAGAGACAATGTGTTAAAAATAAATGTTTACTAACAACATTCTCAATTTCCTTAATAGCTGAAACTCGTAAGTGGTTATGCTTTCATTATAGATATGAGCATTTCAAGGGATTTAAGTAGTTTCTGTCTGCACAGCAGCCTCAGCTGCAGCCGCCTTCTTGTAGACTCCCTGTTTAATCAGCACAGATTTAGGGATGGCCTGGGGGAAGACAAGCATTGATAACTGTGTTCCCCATGGTACAAGCAGGTGCAGGATGTGGCTGGGTGCTTGTTGTCATTCTCCACCACCCAGCCCTGGGAAGCAATCCTATCTGTGTAAACACAAGTGACTTCTTCAGTTGCCTCCTTGCCTTGACGTTTCCTTCTCCTCGATCCCTATTGGCATCTGGAACGTGCCGCACGGTGCTGGAAGTGGGCTGAGTGTGTTGGAGACACCGTTGTCACAATGGTGTGGCCCCAGCTCTCTGCTCCGGGCTAGCCAAGGCTAAACCTTGAACTATGAGTCTCTGCTGTTGGAAAGGGATTTTGAAATTTCTGTCTTGGAATATACATGGATGCTCGTTTGGTTGTAGGGTGGAGTTTTGAATTGTCATCAGCGCTATTTTCACCTATCAGCAGGGTTTCTTCAGGCAATCTGTGTAGGTTCTCAAATAAAATATGTTATGTTGTTTTCCCCGTGTTTGGATATGAAAATGAGAGATGCTTAGAGCTCTAAACACCCCCAAGGTTCCTTTGGATTTGAGCTGCTCCCAAGCACTCCGCACCAGACAAGGTCTACTCTCTTTAAAGGCAGTGGCTGTGAGATTGAGCACAGCATGAAGGTTCCATAGCAGATGGGACACATTACAGAGGCTGGACTGGTGGGTCCTGATCTAAAAAAGTTCCTCTTCTGTTTTGCACTCGATGGCCTTAATAAAATCTCCCTTTTCTCTTGCAGGGGAAGGTGGCACAGACAGCTTGTATGTCGGCATGCAAACACCTCTCCACCTCGCTGATGCAGCTGCTGCTGGAAGCCGAAGTGCGGCAGCTGACGCTGGGCGCCTTGCAGCAGTTCAACCTGGACGTGGAGGAGTGTGAACGTAAGATGCAAAATCATCTTGTTTTCCATGTCTTGCTTTGCCCGTTTGTGTGTCACGACCCGAGCCAGGGCTTTTAGTTGTGCCAAGCATTTGGGGCTGGTGGACGCCTGTGAGCTCGATGGTGCTGTCCACGATGACACTTAGCAATATCTTCAGGACAGAAGAAGCCCAGCAAATTCTAAGAGATCAAAGCTTTACTCTTCTTTTTTCTCTTTAATGCTGCCTTGATGCTTTCCAGACCATCCCTGCTTTTTGAGATGGAGTATTTTAAAAATAGGAGGGATTAGAGTGGGTAAAACATGAGGAGGGCTAACAAAAAAATCAGTTTACTTATGACTGTTTCTGAAAACAATAACTGGCTTATGTTCTTAAGAAGTCCTGGTCCTCTCCTGACCTCAGCTGTTTGTCTTCTCTATCTATTTTTTCTCAAAGTGAACCCTTTTTGCAAAGTTACTGTTATGGAAAAGAGATGTCTTGCAACAAAATAACTACTTCTATTCAGAGGTGTGTGTGGAGAATCATGGTGCCAGCACCATGGCTTTGCTCTCAACCCTGCACATTTTGGTTCCTCTACCTTACACCTGAATTCACTCTGAAATCCTAAGGTTTCCCTTAAGTTGCTTGTTATCCTGCTCAACAGAAGGGTTAGGAAAATATAGTACAAACTGACAAAATGCTTTTTTTTTTTCTTCCTATTTTTGTAATTTAAGCTAAAGCAGGGTGAACGGACTTCTGCACAGGAACCTCTCTTTCTTATGACGGGGATGGTTTTATTATTGGGATTAATATTGAGATGGAATAGCGACCATGGCTATGGAAAACACAGAGCTTGATAGGGTTGATAAAGAGTTCAGGATTTTTTTTGAATTCCAGAAAGGGTAAAGCATTTTGGGGAAGTTTTTTTTCAAAATACACACCTTTTTGGATTTCTTGGTCAATGGGGAGATTGGGATGTGTCTTGTTTAGAACACAATAAACCTGTTTGCTGTAGAGTCATCTGAAGTGCGGTTTGGCCTGATGGGGCTGCCATTAAAGCCGCAGCAAAATAGTCCCTGGCCTCAGTGTGAATGGTACGGGAGCCTAAATAGCCCTGAGTTTGCTTTTCCTATCTCTGATAACTCAGTGAAATCAGTTGTGTTGGTTTCGTCATTGTCTGAGCCTTACATTGTCAAAATTCTTCAACCCTTTATAAAACATTTTGCTGATGGTGTTTTACTTCAGCTGCGCCCATCAATAGTGAGATTAAATTTATTTCAGTAAGATTTTTGGTGTTTCCAGGGGGTATTTTTTAATTTTTTTATGTCCTATTGCTAATTCCCAACACTGTCAGTTGAGTAACCTGGGAAAAGGATTACTGCTTAATGAATCATATCCAAAATTTGCACCTATATCATATGTTGTAATGCAAGCAATACCTTATTTTTCTTTCAGAAGTGCCTTCAGCCTTAAAGTCTGGCTAATTTGTGTCCTGTCAGCATGTCGGGGCTGCACCGGTAGCAGCTATGTTCCCAGTCAGTGTCTGCAGAGGGACAGGCAATGATGCTGAGAATAGTAAAAAGGATTTGACATTAATAATAGTTGCCTTCATTTTCTTTTGCTTGTAAACAGTCTCGTAACCCTGCAGTTTGCCATCCCATCAGTAACATGGGTCACTAAGCAGCATCTCTTCCCAAAAAGCCCCCAATGCTAAGTAAAACGAATGACATTTAATATCAGGTTTAAAAGCACAATTCCTTAAATTCCAATTGTTTTGTGAGACAAAACCAGGAGCACTCAGACATTCAAGAGCAGGTGACGCCAACCTGAGCGGTGGGGCAGGCGACCCGCTCCCCCCCAGCCCCGGCCCAAGATGCTGTCACGGGCTGGGGAATGGAGACGGATGCTGGTGCTGTAACCTTCCTATCCATCACTGTCAGCCTGCAGAACGGTAAACCCAGACAAAGTCTTTTTCTTCCTTTTCAGCAGCAAAAATGCATTCCCTCGTCCCTGTGGGTTTGTCTGACACCAGGGATCATTTTAGTTCTGTTTTTGAGAAGCAGTGTATCAAGATTTTAATTTTAGAAAAAGCCAATCCCAACAGTGAACTGGTATATTCAGAAAATGTTTCAATTTGCAAGGGTTTTGTTTTGTTTGTTTGTTTTTTTATCTTTTACCTGAAAGCGCAGGTAGAATCTCAGCATCCTTATTATCCCAGTTGCATATTTGACTTTATGTTTCTGCCTCCAGCCCTCTTCCTCTCCCCAGACCCCCAAGCCTTACCTAGTTTAGCAGCTTTATCATGTACTTATCATATTAAAATGGGAATTTATAGCTGTTTGGAGCACTTCCAGTGAGTTCTGTGATGTGGGAACAGGGCTTCGGAGTTTCAATCCCAGAGTTTATTAGGCTTTTGTTTAAATCTTTTGTGAATGCCAAAGGTATAAGCTGGTTAAGATAGTGGTGAGGCAAATTAATGAAAGGACTTAGTTGTATATTAAGTATGGTTTGAAGGTGGTGCAGATAATTTGCTCTATATCAGGGTAGATATAATGCACGTTACAAGAAAATGTGTTTATATACACAATAGATAACAATTGTAGAGGTGAAAATGATGACAGTTTAGGCTTAAAACAAGACACGAGTAAATTAATTCTCCAGAGTTGTGGGTTCATAAAATATTTCCTAATTTATGAATAATTTGCTGTCCTCTCAGCATAAAAAGGCAATGGCTGCGTGAACCATTGCATCAGGCTAAGATTTGACACCGGGCATGTGCAAGCCTGGGTGGTGCTTGGGGGAAGCACAAGGTCGTGATAGGACCCCTTCCCTGCACTGTAAATGCCCCCTCCCTAGAAACGTGCTTGTTGTGCATGTTCAAAGCACTAAATATACAGTTTATTAATTTTATGACCTTGGAAAAGAAAGCTTTTGGAGGACTGGAAAGAAATAGTAAATTAAATAAACATTAAGAGCCAAATCGTGCATGTCTTGGTGGTATGAATAGTCCTGTATAAGTCAGCAGCATTCCTGGTGCAAAAGAGGCAAGAAAGAGCGGAGCTGCAAGGTTGTAAAAATCCGATTAGACTCGCTGTGATGCGAGAAACCAGGGAAAAATGCAAGCTATTTTCCTATGGCATTATACCCCTGGTGAAACCACGATGCTGGAGCCTCTGTCTGGACAAAAGCCCTCAAGGAGGTATAAGGCACCAGTCCTGCATGTCAAGGTGGATGTCCTCTTTTTTTTTCCCAGCAAAAAGCTGTTTCCCAAGATGTGTGTTCGAGGTTTGAAAGTCTTTTGGTGCAGCTTTACAGCGATGTGTTTGCATGGATGGCATAGCTGACGTCCAGGGAAAGGCAAAAGTAATTTTTAAAATGTCTGTTGCTGGCCAGGTATTAGTTGTAACTCTTGTTCTTATTGCTTGGCTTTACATAGCTCTTTTTTAATGCAGTCAAGAGAGATTCTCTCACCTCTTTATTTAAACCTGAAGTGAAATAAGGCATAGAGGTTAAATGAATTGCCCAGAAAGACACAGTAGGACACATCTAATTATGTCTCAATTTAGGAGTGAGTTCTGGCTCCAGCCCAACAAGCCAACTTGAAAAGAAAAAAAAAAAAACAACTCTGGTGAGGAAAAATAAATACCTAACACAAACATTTCTGTGAACCTGTAAATAGAGGAGGTGGTGTTTTTTTCAGAATAGGCATTTGCTTTTTAAAATGGGTTTGCTGTCTTCCAGAACACATCTGTAACCCAAGATTTAACAGCACATGCAATGTGCTTTTTGTAATTGCTCTGTGCCTTGTAACACAGTTCCCCGCTCTGCTCTTTTTTGGACCTCCTGGTGCTGGTGTTTATATATATATATTTTTTCCTATATCTCCTGTACCTCAGAGTTAGTGGGAATCAAATGTAACAACCCAGATTTGGAGATTACAACCAAATAAAACAAAAAGAAAAGGGACTGCTCTCACTCCTACGAAAGTGTTTCCCATCTACGTAACTGGTTCCAGCAGTGGTGGAGGCAGATTGTTTTTACAATACTTAGATCATAAAATAAGCAGTTCCATAATCTCTAAAGTCTTTTAACTGCTGCTTTATGAGAAATTAAAAGTGCTGTAAAAATTATATTTAAAATTTCATTCAACTCCAAATTTTTGGTCAGCCCACTCCTGGGGGCAGTCAATAAGAAACACAGATGTCTCCACTGGTTTGAGGAATCCTCCAGCCCAACGTGCGAGCGTGCCAAAATGTGCCGATATGGGTCCCGGCGCAGCCATTCACCACCTCCTTCTTGGCTGCGTTATCTGGCTCTGAGGACTTTCTCACACGGAAATCCCATTTTTTGTGTAAGACACCAGGGTTTGCCCACCACGCCAGAGGACTTCTCTCCCTCAAGCGCAGGCTGCTTGCACCATGCAAACAGCTGCCTGATGTTCTTCCAACCTGCAGCCCGTCAGGGATTAGCATGTGCGGCACTAGAGGTGAGCATGGTGGGTTTGAGGACAAACTCCCTGATTTTAGGTTATTGCACTCTGTGCTTGCTGGTATCCATCCTGCCTCAATGCACCAGCAAAAGCTCCTATTTTGGGGGAGAAAAAGGGATATTGCAAAGAACAGAGGGAAAGGTTTGAGCAGACTTTTTTTTTTTATTATTATATTAGTGGCTCACAGCCTCAGTCAAGTGTGTTTCCATGCGACTCAGATGTGTGGTTAAAAAGGAAAGATATGTGTTTAAAAGAAATTAAAGCTGCAGATCCTCCTGAGCCACAGGGCTCATATGTAGGGTTGTGTGACTGCAGCTGGTGGTGGTTCTGTGCTGGCTTAGCCGGTGTATACTGTGTGAGTGTGAGCTCCTTACCCATGGTGAGAGCCAGGGAGGAGGACCTGTATTAGCCCATGATGAAGGACAAAGCGACATCGTGTGTGTCTGGAGTTGTGATGGTATGAAAGGACCATGGTTGTCATTCGGATGGTTGGTAGGAACTCCTTATGCTGCAATATTGGAGTTGTAGGAGTTTG